GAGAGAGAAAGAGAGAGAGAGAGAGAGAGAGAGAGAGAGAGAGAGAGAGAGAGAGGGGTGCCTCAGCAATTGGCAAGGATGATACAGCAACACACTGACACACATAAACTCATGCTCTGCATCAGTCAGGCAGAGTCAGCACACACACACACACACACGCACACACAGGTGATGTTAAGGTCACTATATTGTATGTTCACCTATGACAGCAATGCATGCAAACTGCACAAAAACAATCTGTGACCTAAAAACATGCACATGCTCATTAGCATTCATGCATAACAGTGTGTGATATGTCATATCCATTTATTATCCTCTCTAACAGCTAGAACAGGGTCTGAGAAAATAACTGCACTGAAATTACATCTGATATACAGCATACAGCTGCAACTGCTTTAGAAATCACCATCAAGGTCAAGAAAGGACATTTAGGTTTGTTCAGGTGTAAATTCAGTTATTTTTGGTATTCTGGTATGTTGTGAGTATGTTTTCATGAATATGAAATAGCTAAATGTTTTCCCTATTGTTAAAGCAAATAATAACGGCATACATGTACCATAGATGAGTGTAGAGCTGCATTACCTGTATTATGTTCTCGAGAGCAGAGGAGCCCAGAGAGCCTCTGTGTTTTTGCACCATGGCGACACATTGTGGTCGAGAAGCAGAATTACTAGATGTAATGACTTTGCGTTACGTGGAGACTAGCGATTTGGTCAAAACAACATGTCAGTTTGCAAAAAAAACAAACAAACAAAAATACTGACAGTAAAGCCATATTTGCATAATAAACCGCGACAGATAGACCACTATTACAATAGACCACTTATTATATAAACTGCTTGAGATTAGCTTTTAGCTTCCGATAAGAAAATACTCGGCTTCAAGGTAACTAGTGAGACGAATAGCTGCAACAATATTGATTAATATAGTATAACTAATCAGCAATCCACGTTAATAAAGCGGTGGACTAATTAATATATTTAGCTTAACAATTGTCTTTCACTAAAAGCCAGTAGTTTTACCTTATACACACTAAGATGGCGCCACACGAATTACAGTACAGTAATTACAGTACAGTATGTTACAGTAGAGCTTGTAGAGTAGATATTGCTATGAAGAATCCTTAGTTTTTACAAAAAGATACAAAATTAATCAAAAAATATCTGACCACGCAGTGCAGGGATTAAACAATAGAAATCTATTAAACAATAAAAAGCCGTATAAATTAAGCACTGTTTATTTTGTGCAGTACATAATAGGCTAAAAAAGGAGTATTTTTCTTGCAAAAAAAATTAAAAACCTTGTAAAAAATAAATCTATGCCATGATGGGTAACACAGGGCTGCAAATGTCGTTTTTTTTTTTTTTAAACCACATGGAAATTTGTATATACAGATAAACTTACATTGGTCATGAATGAAATATATATTTGTTTGATTTTTCTTCTTCTTTGAATAACTAGGCTAATTTGCATAAAATAAACAAATGGAAAATATTTACCTGTTTTTCTGCCAAACTGTAGGGTCCAAATATTACTTCTTGGGGACAAATATTAGGTAATATCTATTATACCAATGAGATAATTAAATAGCTATTTACTATAATTAATTGAGTATCAGTTCAATATATTGTCAAACTTACGACATTGAGTATAATTGTAAGTTCAAGACAAGGCCAAGGACGAGGCCAATTTGGGACAGGCCAAAAATCACCATTCTAACACGATGGAGCAGTTTTTATGATAGATAAAAGTTCATCAAATATGGCTGTAAGGTCACACTCACATACACACTTGCATTTGTGGCGTATGGGGACTCTCCATAGGCGTAATGGTTTTCATACTGTACAAACTGTACTTTTTATCCCCCTACACCAACACTACACCTAAACCTACCCCTTACAGAAAACTACTGGCAATTTTTGAATTTCATAAAACACCATTTAGTATGTTTTTTTTAACCCTTTTGGTTTACGGGGACACAGGAAGTGTCCTCATAAACCATGTTTATGTTGTAGTACCCATGTCATTATACACATTTGTGTCCTCATAAACCATACATATCAGAACTGTACACACACACACTCTGCATTGTTAGATTTTCCAAAAACTTAATTCTATATGATTTATAAGCTTTCCTCGTGGGGATCAAAAAATGCCACCACAAGGACTTCGGATATTGCCATCTTTGTGGGGATATTTTATCCCCATAACATAGGGTTCTCTCTCTCTCACGCACGCATGACATTATTGTAAACACTGTAATATATGCAAAATACTAAATTAAATTTACAATCCATTACAACCAAGCTTTTCATTACAATTATCTTTTCAGCTGTATAGTTTGTGTAGCTGAACGTTTCATTGTAGCTGTAATTATAAGGCAATAAAATCAGAAAGCCAGAAGTGCAACAAACTCATACACCAACCTCACAAAAGCTTTCAGTTAAATATCACAATTATGTTGTTCAATAGTTAACGTTATCGTCAATATTAAAGTCTAAAAACTTACTGAAGTGATAAAATCTGGTTTAATTATGAACCACATCTTTATTGATACTAGCACTTTGACTTTGCCTTTAAAACCAAAAGGAAAGTAACCTCATTTTTATTTTATATAAAAAGGTTTATTTGTTCGAGAAAAAAATGAAAGGATGTTTGCTCATTTTGAATTCTGATTTGTACATGTGCTATACAGTGCAGAAAGAGTTTCAAACCCTTTAATGGACAATCGTTTTACTCTGCTTCACCCTCAAATCCCTGCGACACATTAAAAGACCTATAAAAACACTTGCAGTGACACTTCACTGTCTTTTCCACTGAACCCAAGGACAAAAGGAATTCTTCAGTCAATTTTCATCTTCACCACATAAGTGCGCACTGCGGGGGAGGAGGGCGAGACGGCTTTTCACCAGCTTTACCAGGCCACTTCCATCAATACATTTCATGAACATGGGAAAGACAAGGGAGGGATAAACACTTCAACAGTAATCTATAATCTTGCCCATACTGATCCAATGCTTCAGAATAGTAACTTTGTCCTCACAGTACCAACCTGAGGCTCGATAAGATCACACAGCATTGTGGGTAATAGATTTTGCATGTACAAGGATCTTACAGAGGTCATGTAGTTCATTTAAGTGCATGTAACTTAACAGGTCCATTCATATAAATTAAAGAACTGGTTGACATTTAAGGTTTCTCTTTTTTTACACGCAGTACAAAGGTCACAGCCTGTATAATTACAAACTTAACAACAAAAATATGTGTAATCATGAAAATGGACTCGAAAGAGGAAGAAGGCTCCTTCAGCACTGATCCAGAACCAGAGGATGCCACAAAAACACCAGAGAAATTGACCGACTTCACAGCCAATCAGATTTGTCTGTTTCGTTTTCCCACATCAGGAGACTTTAAGACGAACAAACTCACTCTGAAGTGAAAAAAGAAAGGGCATTAGACGAAAATCAAGAAATGTAAATAACAAATAGAATTAAATATTACCAAAAATGTAAACACAAACACAAATCTTTACAAAAACAAAACTAATATTCACACATTAACTGAAGAAAAAAAAAAAAACAGACCTGCGACCTCGTGCTACTGACAATTACACTGTAAAACCACGAGATAGTCGATTGTGTGTGCCTGAAATTATTTGGCGATGACACTTAAATAGGACATTCTATAAACAGTTTCCCTGTTATATGAGTTTCTTACAGAGCGCCAGAAAAGTTCTGCATAGCCCTATTAGTAAACAGTCTCTTGACAGCAACCACATAACATTAACTTTCCCAAAGTCTGCAAGGTCAGATGTTGGCGCTTCGTCTCCCTCTAGTGGCCCCTAGCGAGGGCCGCAGGCGTGGATCACGGGCCTTATAATGCTCGTTGAAGTCCAGACGGAAACTGAGGAACTGAAGACTCTCATCCGACATTAGCAGCCGCAGAAACTCCTGCACTATGCCCTAAACAGAAACAACCATCTCAGGGTTAGATGAGCTTCAGGTGCTTGTTTGTACAAAATCTTGAGCTAACTAGACTCTAGCACTGAGTTCACATGTTTCTATCTCTTGGTATTGTAACTGCCACCCAGGGACAACGGATGAAATTTATCTTTAGACTAATAATGTTACAGTAAATTTACTGTGAATTGTCCCTAAACAAATTAATTAATAAATATAATTTAAGGTGTTAAATTTATGAATATAGGTGACTATAATCATTATTGAGCAACATTAGCAGGTTTGAAATTATCAGTATCGGTTCGTATGTAAAGCAGATAATATCAGGACTTGTTTTAAATAGTAAACCATTTTTGTCAGGTTATGTGTCAAAAAGTTTTCAAAACTTTTATTCATCTGTTTTAATATACAGTACAGTTTTTAAACGGTCTATGTCAGATTTAAAAAGATTTTCAAAAATATTATCTTCTTTTCTCTTATTTTAATACTTTATTTTTTTAAATTACATTATAAATTAATATAAAACTCTACTGCATTATATGCATTTTCCAAAAAAAAAAAAACATATTTTTTTACATGTACATTGTACATTTTTTAAAAACTCCAAGTATGCAAATTGATGGTAAACATTGATAATATCAGTCGTCATAAAAATAATTATCTATAAGTGTCAAGACATTAGAATACTGAAAAGAGACAAAAGTTCACATGAAAATTCTGAATAATAATGAAATTTGGACATATTCCAATTATGCGTTTAATATCTCAAGTATTTTCACAAGATTATAGTGAGAAAACAAGGATCACTTCTTAGTTTATTCCAAATATACTGATTACATTTATATGACAAGAATATTCAATTAGCTCGAAAGAATATAAATGTCTTTCCAGAATAAAGAGTCAACCATAATATGGGCTTTAATCAGAAAATTGTTCGTATAAACATGATCAATGCTCATTCTACATTATTATCAGGCATGATATGTGGTGGGTATAAACCAGGTTCTGCTGTAATTGTATAAGATTCACATTAGGGCTGCACGATAAATCGCATGCGATATTTAACGAGCATCTTATCAGTAAAGCCGGTTCTGTAATCAGCGGTAAATCTCCATCACCTGCGGGCTTTCACATTGAGCAGCATTAACTACACAGAGCCGTTGTTCACTGACGAGTTGCGCAAAACCACGTTCATATTCCCGCGATTTTTTGCACAACTCGTCAGTGAACAACGGCTCTGTGTAGTTAATGCTGCTCAATGTGAAAGCACGCAGGTGATGGAGATTTACCGCTGATTACAGAACCAGCTTTCTGACAAGATGCGCATTAAATATCGCATGCGATTTATCGTGCAGCCCTAATTCACATTAAGTGTTTGACTGTAGCAGACGTAATGTCTGGATCAGCATAAAACGCCCTACTGAACACCATTAAGCATGTTCTCTCACGCTTATACCTGCTGGTTCAGCACTTTATCACGCATGCATGAAATGATATCAGTTTATTGGGTGAGCATATGAAAGTGTGTGTAGGGTACCTGATAGAAGTGTGTGAGTAATCTGAGCTGAGAGCACATTTTTGGTATGGTGTCTTTAAACTCCTGCACACGTCTGTTCTCCTCGGCCTCCTGCTCTGCTGTTACACCCCACTCGCCCTGAAACACAGAAACAAACACAGAAAAAGACACACTCTCACACATTTGTTTACAGCAATTTAGCTGACACGAGAGAAGAAGAAAAAAAAAAAATCAATGGCAATAGAAAACCAACACCGTCCCCATAAAAAGAGCAGCCACTTTCATTTTTGGCCTATAAATTTGCTAATGGCCACTTTCCAGAGTCAAATAAAGGAGTGGAACATAATTCTCTTTGCATGGAGATAATCAGACGCCTTTTCAGCGATGGACCCTCTGAACATGTGACTTAACCATTAGTAATGTTCTGGCCTATAAGAAGTCTTGCTTTCTTTGAACTTCCGGTTATAGCAATGAATTTGGTAAGATTTTTGAAAAAAGTCTCTTATGCTGACCAAGCTGCATTTATTTGATCAAAATATAGTAGAAACAGTGAAATATTATTGCAATTAAAGTAACTGTTTTCTATTTGAATATATTTTAAAATGTAATTTATTCCTGTGATGCAAAGCTGAATTTTCAGCATCATTACTCCAGTCTTTAGTCCTAATCCTTCAGAAATCATTCTGATATGCTGATTTGCTGCTAATTTCTTATCTTTATCAGTGTCATTATTATCAGTGAAAACTGTTGTGCTGCTTAATATTTTTGTGGAAACAGTAATACATTTTCAATTTTCTTAAAAAAAAAAAAAAAAAATCCTCCCTCAGTTATAAGCAATATTTGTCTACAGTATTATACTTATAATAGAAATCTAGAGATATGAAAGTCATATTTTTGGTCAAGTACTTACTTTATTTTTCCATACAAAATGTGCATTATTTGAGCTGTAAAGTTAACTTGATGCAGTTTTACTGAGCTGGAGACAGACTCGTTTCATCTCATGATGCTGCAAGTAAAAGTGATGCTGTGCTTGTCTGTCACAAGTATGCAAGGAATAAACAGCACCCATTTTAAATAAACCAATTCTCATGTGGATATGGCCACTAAAATATCTATAGCTGATAAATGTTCTCATTTCACCTGTCAAAATATGCTAAAATATTTTTTGGACTGCAGGATGAAAGCATCATGACTACTATTCATTTTACACTAACACTAAATGTGTGGAAAAGCACTGATTTGATTTACTGTCTATACATACCATTTCTTCCCTCTGTCTCTTCTTGTCCTCGAATTGGATGCGTAGTTGCAGCTCTTCTAGAGCAGAGCGGTACAGAGTGTCCTGAGCATTCTGGAACTCAATGATCTGATCAAACACTGCGCGCAACTGATTCAACAGAGGCTGCAAACACACACAGAGGACAACAGAGTTACAGAAATGAGGACAAGCATGAGGGATCAGCTGTGTAAATGCATCGTACCCTGTTGTTCACATCCAGCAGGCAGCGAGAAATGATGGAGTCCAGGAAAACGTCATGAGCTGCTATAATGTGATCCAGATCCTGAGCCTGCTGGACCTTATTCCACAGCTCATCCCAAGAGCACTCCAACACCTAGAGTGACACAAACACAATATGATAAATAATCCAGCTCAAATGTTTGAAGGAGAAACAGGAGGCAATACATAGAGGGACGTACCTCAAATGTGATGTAATACTGCATCTGATGGATGAAGTGGACCATCTCGGAAGCTAGAACGTGACATTGGTGCAGCACACCAGAGAGCTCTGCGCAAATACACAGCGCACATCTTATCTGTCTGCCGAGAAAGCTAAATCTCGTAAATAGTTTAAGTTAGTTTTATAACATCTAACCCAATGAAAACTGCACTCACCCGGCATGCTCTTCAGCAGTTTGGCGTTACACATTTGACCCTTCCATATATCTGTGAGGATGTACTCCATTCTTTTAGCTCTCCACAGGAAGTTGAACACTCGCAGGTAGTGGCTCATGCACTCACGGGTGAACACCTGACACAGGTATGACATGTGGTTAGGGATGCACTGATAGAAACTTTCTGGCCAATTTTGAAAAGCTGGTAATTGTTTTAAATGTCATGGCCGACAACCGTAAAAACTGTTGTGATTTTAACAGTAAAAGAGTGTAAAAAATGCTACAGTAAAAACCTGTTAATTGGTTAACAGTAAGTTTCTGTTCTATATACAGTGAAATAGTATACAGACTGTATAAGATACTGTTAAAATTAGGGGGTGGTTTTGGAAGTGAAAAAGAACAAGTCATTGTATAATTTACAGTAAACACTTAAATTGAACCGTAAACCGTACAGTGAAAAATTCCATGCATGACACCTCATATTTGATGTTTGTTCATTGAAATAACTGTTTTTCTTACTAGTTATGTTCATTAGGGTTGTACGTTACATCTAATGTTGTTGAATGTTTATTGCATTATTTCAGTATCGTGTGTTACCATGATGGTGTTTAGTGTTTGTGCATCTTCTATATACTGTTTAAGTATTTCCCTCCTCAGCTTGTGGAAGAGCTGCTTATGAGTTTTGGTTCATCATGTGACTTTATCATTACCACCTTCTTTTGGTGGTTGTCAGTGTATTACAATGGTACAAAACACATGTTAGTACTTCAATACATTGGTATGTTAACATTATATCAGTAAATGAAATAGTTTTTTACTGTGAATTTAAGTTAAGTCTGTAAAACCTAAAATGTTGCTACCATATTTCTTTATGGTGAAGTTCTGGCAACCACAGCTGCCCATATTTTACCTTAAATGTCACCTTTTTTTTTTTTTTTTTTTACAGACTAAATAAATTAGAAATAAATACTAAAAACTAAAATCAATCATTTTAAAGACTACAAGTGAATTTAGGCATCACAACGTAACAATGTATGTAAAATCCACAGATTACATAACAAAAACAACAACAACAACAAAAAAAACAACAACTGCAAACTATTTTTCGCATTCTGGGTCATTTTTGACCCGGTGGAAAATAAGCTTATAAAATAGTCATAACTTGATATTTTTCAACAAAACAAATTGTTTCTGATGAATAACTTCACATTAATAGGTGTTCAACATTATAGATGAATGCTGCAGTTAATCCAACACCTTGGCTCACTGAAATTTACTGCTTGGTTCTTGGAATGACACTCTGACAGCCCTTGGTCTGGATCCAAGTCTCAAGTGATCTAGTCTTGGACTTGGTATGGGTCTTGTTTCCAAGACCCAGACCACGACTAGACGGCTAAAAACTATGTATTTTTAGAATTTACTGTTTAATGTTTTAAGGATCAACTTTAAGTGAGGAGAAAAATCATGCTGCACGAAGACGGTGTTGTGTGGACTTCGTCGGTCTGCTGGTGAGGAAAAATACATCATGCACAATGTCAGAGTTATAGGACAGAACTTGGATAAACAAAGTTAACTTTAGGCTTATGCCAAAAGAGTTTATTTACCGTGGCAATGGGCCCCTCTACATGGTAATCCAAACTGAAGACGTCCCAACCAGTGTCTCCAGGAGAAACCTGGACAAAATAGGACACCAGATCCACATTCAGTGATGCACAATTATGTACTTAAATTTACAAATTTTTTTGGGACTCAGTCCCTTCTAAATACCTCCAGTAGCCGGACATCAAGCCTCTTCAGTATCTCCGGACTGTCAAACTGGGCATTGGTTGCTCTGACAGCAGTCTCCAGGATACCGGTTAGATTGTGTTGGTAAAGAGTGGTGGCAGCCCTCGCCAACTCTGGCCTGAGAGAGAGCGAGAGATAAAGAGAGATTGATGACTCCAAGAAAAGAGAGGGATCTTTTATAAATCAGCAATAAAATCAAGCACACTCACATCAAGCTGAAACAGAGATGTCTATGTTTTAATGAGAGCTCACCCATGAGCGCACACACAAACTTACTTGAGGAGGTCCATGAGGTGTCGGATGAAGTCTCCCTGGCCCAGCAGCACGTATCTCCTCATGGCCTGAAGATGCTCCAGCAGCTGGTAGTTCTTATTCAACACATCCAACAGATACTTACTGGTCTCAAAATATGCAGCATCAATCTTACTCTGAAAGGCCCCTTCCAGATCAGTGAACAACACTGACGCTGAAAACAAGATACACAGGGTGTTAAATAAAGGCAAAAACCAGGAAGAGAGAGAGAGAGAGAGAGAGAGAGAGAGAGAGAGAGAGAGAGAGAGAGAAAAAACAGGACAAGTGGAAAGAAAAGTGGTAAATGAAGAAAAAGTGAGGCAAAGGAAGAAAAAAAAAAAAGACTAAAAATTAAAATAAACTATTCTGGTTAATCCTTGTGGCAAACATTGACAGAAATTTACTGCAAGATGACATTTCACATGCAAATAAGCAGTGACCAGGGTTACGATAAACTAAAAAGTAGAACAAAGACAAGACTCATAAACAAATAATGAGGGGAAAAAATGAAATGAAACTAAAAAAAGGGGGTTGAAAAACTAACAAAAATAAAATAAACACCACAAATTGTGAAACTGAAATCTTTTTGTAGTTAACACGCATTCAGCATCTTGTTTTCTATCCACCAAGCAGCAAATTATTCCTTTAGTTGTGATTTTTGTATACATTAGGCATATGACGGTATGAAATTGTCATGTTGCGATTAATTGCAAATGCTTTTATCATGGTGTACAGTATTATCACGGTATTGAAATTTAGTTGCAAAAAAAGTGGTCAAACTATAACAGGCTTAATAACTTTTAACACATAAAATAAAGTAATACACAAAAAATTTATGAAGTAAAACATTTCACACTGATTTAAGAGCAAAAGAATTATAAAGACCAATAAGTAACACTTTACAATATCTCATTAGTTAACCTTAGGTTAATGCATTAACAATTAATGAGCAACAGCTACATTTGCTACTGAAGTTAATAATCTTTGTTAAAAAAATACAACTGTTATTTTAAGATTAATGAATGTTTAGAAGAATTTTTCATTGGCAGTTTATGCAAACTAATGCATTAACTAGGCTAATGTTAATTAATAGAGCCTTAACGTAGCCTAAAGTGTGACCAAACAATAAAGAATCAAAACATTTTCAAACAATATCTAGGGCATGTTGTAGTCCAAATTAAAATGTAAAAATAGATTGAAAATAAATAGCCTATTAAGTCTAAATATTTAAGTATTTGGTGCTGGGATGAACACCACTGCGAATACAAAAATCTGAATGGCTATTTAAACCATAGATATGTATCTATGGTTTAAACCATTTAAATATGTTTTAGAAAGTAGTGCAGCTGCTTTGTTTCCAGGGTTACGGCTGCATTTCTGTAGCTTAGCGCCATCTGCTGTCAGAGTAAATGTGCGCTTTCATTCAGCGTCCCTGCGTCCCAATGTGCATACTTATCCACCCGATCTGCCCTAAATAGTATTGAAAATTACTAATATCATAGAATTTAGGATGGATAGTATGCACATTGGGACGCCAATGTGCACACCAGGCCGTGTCTCCTTCACGTGTTCCATCATGTGCTTCTAATCCATGCTTGTTTACATGAGAGTGCGCATGCATCTTTCACGCAGCATACAATGTTTTTTTGCATTATGACCAGTTGATGGGGAAAATATTCTTAAAATGCATTAAAACAATCTGAAAAGTTTGAAATAAATAATAATTCAGGGTATTTTGAAGTGCCCACGATAACAATATCGTGCATATTCATTACAGTGATATATCGCATTACCGAATACCGGCACATGTCTAGTATACATAAAAAGATGTCTAATTTTATATGTAAATAACACAATAGTTAAAGAATAACTTAACTGACAGTAGGGGTGGGCGATGACCAAAAATTTAAGTAATTTTATTCCACCGTAACAATATATATCACAATATACTTATTTTTGCTTTAAATAAGATCTTTACATACATTTTTTTTTTTTTATTCTTGTCACCAGCATCAATATCACAAAAGACTAATACTAGCCTAAATTAAAAAAACAAACAAAAAAAAATTCAAGCTCACCGAAGACAAATAAACAGTCAGCGATTAAATAAGAATAAGAAACTAACTACAAAAAATAGGACAAAAAACGACAGTAAAACAAATTAATAAGAAATGCTATATACATAAAGTAATCAAATGTATAAAAACACTGCATATTCTTTACTGTGTAAATACATTTTATATTTATGATTTAGTCAAGAACAGTGAGAGAGTTCCTCTCTTCTGTTGTTTATCATGAATGACAGAGCAGGAATATTAGACTGCTGTCACATGTTACACATGCATTTTTTTTCTCAGCTGTTTGCTTTCACTTAAGTAACTTACTGTGTTTATGAGGATACTTGCAAAGACTGCCATTTTGACACATACAAGGGTGTGTATTTAACCGTTCAAGGCCTATAAAGCGGCAAAAATAACTCCGTTCAATTCTTCGCATGCACGCGGATCTCTGACAGCGCTCAGAAACAGTCGCTCAGACAGCACGCGCATATAGCGAAATGAGTTCTCTTGCGCTGCTGATTGCTTTTCAATGGCTTAAAATGTGGTTTTGAAACCACAATGCTCAAAAATGCATGCAAACGATAAGTTTTTGTTAGTGGTCGACCGATATTGTTTTTTTTTGACAGCCGATGCCGATATCTTGGCAAGCAGGGTGGCCGATGACCGATATAAAGCCAATATAATTTCATTGATTTTAATATTTAAGAAATTTGAATCATTTGAAAATTGATTAAAAATAAATGTGTTAAATAAGCATACTTTAGATGACAAAGTATTTTTCACAAATAAATAAATATTTAATAAAAATATAATTAAAAAGTAAACACAGTAACCAACAGGGCACTCAGTTTTCTGGGAAGTTTGTGTGCATTAATCGTATTTTTTAAACGACAACAGCGAACAAGAGGGAGAATGTGAGCACTGTGTGCACCTCAGGTGCTGCCATTCTCAACGCCGTCAAAATAAATGTCAGTCGCGCCGTCAAAATAAAAGTCCTGCCTCGAACACATCGGCCAAACAGAAAAACGTATCGGCCGATGCTGATATTTAAAAAAAATGTCAAATATTGGCCTTGGCGATATATCGGTCGACCACTAGTTTTTGTGACCACGTAGCACAGCAATGTCACGTGTGCGTATAACCGTGATAGAGACGATAGTGCAAAATCTCTACCGGTTGACAAATTTCTACTGGTTAATTGTGTCTACCCGTATATCGCCCACCCCTAACTGATAGACTAAAAACTGAAAGAAGAATAAACTTTAACTATTAAATCCACTGAAACTAACTAAAACTAAGCTTAAATTTGAAGTAAATTTGAAAAACAAAACAAGTTAGAAACTATAATCACCATGACTGTGTTATAAAAGTATTACAAAATTATGGTAAACATGAAAGATTTTTGCCAAAAAAATAAAGTTTTTGCAAGGTTATACAAAGGATATACATGTAAAGACAAAACAGCTTTAAGGCCAGAAAAAGTAAAACACAAAGTCAATGCAGAGAAAGAAAGAAGGACAAAACACCAGAAAATAAAGAACCTTCTAGAATCACATTGAAGGACAGAGATGTACGCTGGAGGCTAACAGCATTGATTAGCCATGCTAGAAAAGATGTTAAATACAGCCAGCATCGATATTGAGAACTACACCACAGACAGGCGGTCAAAAACAGCACTTTCCTCCACAACAGATCAATCCTTCTCTCTTCTCTTTCTCCATCCCTCGCTTTCAGCAGGTTATTTAACTATTAGCTGCCATTATAGCCACAAATATCGCATTAGCTAGCATAAACGCAGCTATTTTAAGCGACTGCATTAGCGCTAGCTCACCATCTTTGGGAGAGTCGGTGGATTTGGAGGCAGGCATGATCTTTCCCGGCGGCGTCCTGTCGTGGCATACCTGATGCAGGAAGTTGATGGATTTGCCAATGAGTAGCACCTGGAGAAGGACAGAAGAGAAGAAAACATCATTATAGGCTCATTTCAGTCTGAAAATGACTCGCATTAAACAACCAAATTGGAAGAAAGTGTGAGTGGCGCTTATCTGCGCAAAATACACATCCTTCCTAGTCTGTACTGGGTGGTTAATAATAGGTTAGGTCAAACATGAGGAGACGTGTGCTATTATATACTTTATTGCACACATTTTAACTGGAGAGCAACAAACTGAGCATTATAATAATAATACTATTACTAATAATAATACATTTGTAAAAAACAAATAAATTTGTAATATATTTGTATTATATAATATGTATGATTTAAATTTTTTGCTAGAATATATATATTAGTGCTTTCAAACGAGTAATCGCGATTAATCGCATCCAAAATAAAAGTTTTTGTTTACATAATATATGTGTGTGTACTGTGTATATTTATTATGTATATATAAATACAAATTTAAATAGGCCTAGTTTGTTTTTTTTTGCAGTTGAAGAAAGTAGGTAATAGCCTAAATTATGTCAGTGATTCTCTCATTTTAAAGATTATCAAGAATTCTTTTATTTCGATTTGCAGTCTAATAAAAGTTAAGAAATGTTTTTTGCCTATAGCCCTATCTATAGACTACAAGCTAATTCCATTTTTTGTTAACTTTTAATTTCTTAAAATTTGTTATGAAGAATATTAAATCAACTTTAGGCTAGGCAAGTTCGGTCCTAGAGAGCCGCAGTCCTGCAGAGGTCAGCTCCAACCCTGAAAAAAAAACTCACCTGCCTATAGCCTTAGTAATCCTGA